CGTCTTTCAGCCGTTTGTCAATCTTAAACGGATCTTTCCAGTCAAGTCTTTGCTTGGAGGTAAAGCTTTTCTTCTGTTGCGACATGTACAACCACAATGCGTTACTGGACGCTGCTTCCGGCTTATCTCCGGGAGTGCACCATCTCACATGGTCGTGTTTCTGCCGGCCAATGGTGGCGACCAGACCATGTCTCTTCTCATGGGCACCCTTTTCGCCAGATCTATGCCGCATCACCTGTCCATGACACCCAGACTCCCGCCACATCTTGCTACATCCGGATCCTTACGCTGAAGCTTCCGCCGTCGTTTCGTATCCCGCTCTTCCGCCGATGCTAACTTCATTGACCAGACATGTATAATCTCACCCTTGGCTTCCGGCTTAACTGCTCGCCTTTGCCGACCATCTTTTTCGGGACACTTCAAAGCGCGCCTACTGCTTCCACAGCCGCTTCCATTTTCGGCTACCGGCGTATCACCATTGCAACGTGGCTCAGTTGCTTTCCTCCTGCCGGAAGCACTGCCTGCCTCGCCATGACCACTTCCTTGTTGCGACCTCTTCTTGGCTGGCGGAACCGTCACGCTTTTCCTGTATCGGTAAACCACTTCCTTCTCCTGACGAAACCATTTCGTCTCGATCCCTGTCGACCTCTGCCCAACTAGCCACTTCCGTTTCTGGTGGAATCTTCGGCACTTCCTCTACGACCAACCGTCTGCTGAAGCACTGGTTGTCGTAACCAACCCTAAGTGGCACTTTCCTGTCGCCATAGGTTAGGATCATTCCCTGGAGGTCAATCTTCATGCCTCGCCCAAGTAGGAAATCCACGCCGATGATGACTTCATCCACAATGTCTGCCACAATAAACTTCGTGTACGAGGCCAACCCGTCGATTATTACCTCTCATTGTACTTCTCCTAACACCTGGGATCGCTCACCAGTTGCAGTCTGCAGCTGTGCTCCAGGTAGTGGCTTCACATAAAAAGTAGTCACATCAGGTCGAATAATGGAATGTGATGCTCCAGTATCCACTGTCAGAACTCGCTCCTGCCCATTCACACATCCACCAATAGTGAGGTTGCTCGCATTCCGGCCAATTTGTGAGACGGAGATTATGGGCTCTTCAACTTCTGGAGCCAGCATGCGGCCCTTCCTGCTGGCTCGTTTCAGTTTAACGACTGACTGGAGTTGGATTCGTCTCCCTCAGCCCTGCGTTTACGTCCCGCTGAATTGTTGAGCCCATTGGAACTTGCATTGCAAACGCGGGCGAAGTGGCCTGGCTTTCGACATTTAAAACATTTTCCAGATCCATACTTTTTCTCGCCCAGCAGTTGGATTAGCTTCTTCAGCATTTCTTTTGTCTCGTCCGGTGTTTCCACTTCCACTCGGTGGGCTTTGTAGGCTGGTTTACTTAGGAGTGCTTCCGTTTTACGTGTCTGAGCATACGAGACGGTTTCAGCAAATGTTGCCTTTGCATTCGCGAACGTCTCTCGCTTGGTATACATGTCCCGCATTCCGTTGATGAACCTCTGGATTTTTACCCTTTCAATATGCTCACCAGATGCGTCTTTAATTGCCAAATGAGCCAACCTTTCAATCTCAGAGGCGAATTCCTGTAAAGTCTCGTTGGATTTCTGGCAGTGATTCTCCAGCTCCATCTGGTAAATCTGTCTCCTGTGCTCAGTACCATAACTCTTTCCGCTGCACCCCTTAACGAATGGTAATTGTTCCTTTCACAGTCGGGAATAGTCTGCAAGATTTCCGCTGCTGGTCGTTTCAATGCGACGAATAACGCAGCAGATTTATCCCCCATGCTTTCGAACTGGAGCTTAAAGACCTGGAAAGGAATCGTGCCGTCAAAGGATGGGGTTTTTACCTTAGGAGCGTTCGTCGACGTAGCTGGACGATTCAACTGTAAATCACGAAGACGACCTTCCAATTCTTCTACCTTTGTTTCGACTTTCTCCTGTCTCTCTTCAAGTTTGTCCTGTATTTGTGTAATTTTTTCATCCTGTGCTTCCAGCTGTGTCTGTAGCTGAGTTTCTAACCGGGATGACACCTGCGATGATACCTCTGAAGATATACGTGTCTCCAGCGTTTGCATCTGTGACGACAACTGTGATGACATCTCAGACTTGCGTGTATCCCGTGCTTGCATCATCTGTGACATGGCAGCCAATAACGTGTTCATGTCCATAGCTGTTGATGTAGTGAGCCTTTTGCTGTTCTTCAACCTTCCCGGATGTCTGCTGCACATCCTTCGACGAACAAGCAGCCTCATCCTTCTTTTCGTCCTTTGCGGATGTATCGTCGGGTTTACCCTGGAAGTCGTATTTGTCCACGTCGATGCCTTCAGCTTCCATAGCCTCCCGCAACCGGGATAACAACTCCACTTTTCTTCCGGAGGTGGCCAAATTACGCTTTTCCAACTCCTGTTTGAGTTCCTCGATCTTTAAGTCCTGAATTTTTGCCATTTTCAAAAGTTTATCCTTCGGGATTTATTTAACAATCCCACTTCTGACACCAATTGTTACGATTATCCTTGAAACCTCGTCCGGATTTCCCAAATTTTTCGGTTCGTATCACTGGATTGTTAAATAAATGCTAACGATGATCAAATTGTAGTGCAATTAACTTTATTGTACAACTAAAGAACGTAGATAACAAGAAGGGACAACTCGTTATAATTGTGGCGAAAGTGCGCAACAGGGGCCTTCTCTTTTCATCCAATCAAAGAACGCACTAGGGCAAAAGAGTAGACACGCCCCTGTTTCGCACTTTCGCCACAATTATAACGAGTTGTCCCTTCTTGTTATCTACGTTCTTTGGTACAACAAACAATTTACAATTTTCGCTAATACAGTAGAAACACTTTACAATACTTGTTAAAGCAATAACAACGCTTTACTAAACTTGTTAACACAATTAAACTTATAGCTTGCTTATTCGCAACTCACTTCTTCGCTCACTTTACTTGTAGCTTGCTGACTTGTAACTAACTCACTCCGGTGTCTGGTGGCGCCCTTATATACCTGCGCTCGCACTCATCGCAACTCTAGAACGTTCTGAAGTTCATCGCTCATTCTCTTTCTCTCGCTGTTCGCAGTGTTCATCCAACTTGACGTTTCTCTTTGTGGAACATTCTACGTCATTCCACGAACATTCTGCCTATTTCTCGTTGTTCGCTTCGCGTTGTCAAAATCGGCAAACCCCAAGTAACGGCTTCTGGAACGTGCCACATTTGTTCGTTACATCGTGATGTGATAAAAAGAAAAACTGGCAGCACTCCGCAAGGTTGCAGAAATCTTTCATGACCCCACGTCTCCTTTTTCTACCAAATATGTCAGTTTTCTCATTTGGGCAACTTGCTGTCTTAACATATCACTTTCAGAATGGCATCAAGCCAATCAGATCGGTCTGTACCCAATGTAGATGGCGCGGTAAAATGAAAACTGAGTTGTCAAACTACGAAATGACAGCTGATTTTAAGACAGCGATGGTAAGAAATTCGGCAAGACAGATATGATTTAACAGTGGAAATTTGCGGTCTCCACCTGACATTTCTGTCTTACCACTGTGTACACGCCTTTAGTCAAAGAACGTAGATAACAAGAAGAGACAAACGTTATAATTGTGGCGAAAGTGCGCAACAGGGGCGTGCCTACTCTTTTGCCCTAGTGCGTTCTTTGATTGGATGAAAAGAGAAGGCACGCCCCTGTTGCGCACTTTCGCCACAATTATAACGAGTTATCTCTTCTTGTTATCTACGTTCTTTGGTATCAGTTTTGAGTAATTTAGCGTCCTTAAATTTCGAAATATCCAAGTTTCAAGCATTTCTGAAATTTACCGTTATATGAAAAGTGGCCGTAATTTTAGTCCGATTTCAATAACTTTCAATGTTTTACTTTTATGTGACAAGAACAATAGCCATACCGAGATTGATACAAATTGGTAGAAGGTTAACGAGATACATACATATGTGTGATCATAACTGGGCGGTGCCATGCCCATTTTCCAAAATTTTATCATAAACGTATGTCGTGGTTAAGAATTATTACAAGCAACACTTTTTAATAAATTAGATATAGTATTCACTGATTTATCGAAGATTTCGTATTTCTCTAAATTACCGTTATATTGGATGTGGGCGTGGTTATTACCCACTTTTGAAAATTCTCAGCAATTTGTTATTTTGTACCAACGCCAACAACTGTGCCAAGTTTGGGGAAATTGGTGGAGCGGCTACCAAGGTATACACATGTAATCAGAAGTAGGCGTGGCTACGCGCCTTTTCCAAAAATTTATAATAGTATTATTTTTCGTCTGAAAATCATTGTAAATTACAATTTTGAGTGAATAGGCTTGAGTAGTTACTAAAATATCGCAGTTTTCGTATTCAAAACTACCGTTATATGGGAGGTAGGCGTGGTTATTGTCCGATTTTGCCCAGTTTCAATACCATTCGTCCTACGCACGAAAGAAGTACACGTACTAGGTTTCGTTAAGATATTTAAATTTTTACTCCAGTTATCGTGTACCCAGACGGATGGACGGACACACATTCACCGCTTAATCGATTTTTCTTTTCATTCTGATCATTTATGTATACATTTGTCTATATCTATCTCGATTCGTTTTGGCTGTTACAAACAACCGTTATGTGAACAAAATTATAACAAAGAACGTAGATAACGTTCGTAGTCTACGTTCTTTGATAATACCCTTGTGCACAAGTGCGCTTGTGCGAAATGCACGTTTGGAGTTAGTCAAAAATCGCATTAATTTTTGAGATTTTTTTTTTTGCTGAAGGATTTTTGCATTTCCATATAAAGTATTTTCGAATTTTTTTTTTTGGAAGAGACTAATGAGAAGAGACTGCGTGAAAAAATGCCAGAAAACAACTTTCAGGCCCATGAACCATGTTTCATGTTTCAGGCCCTTTGGGAATTTACGCTCACTCATACTGATATATCGGCGGATCAGCATTCTGTAAACAACAGATCGTTAACAGAAGTATTGGAAAACTTTGAGAGATGAGTGTCAACAACCGAGAGTAGCTGTAGTGCACTGTTAATAAATCAGCTGATGCTTTGAACAGCAAACAAAACAAAAAAGGCGATTAAAGCAAAAAAAGAAAAAAGCGAATTTTTTCTTATTTAATGCATTTAAAGTGCTTTACTTATTAAAACTACAGTAATTTAGTAATTCCGTAATCATCAAATATGTACACAAGTTAAAATGACTTCACCGAGTGAGCAGAGTTAAATCAGATCGGGAGCTGGCTGTTTTGGCACCAGCGTTATCGCACAAACAAACGTACAGGCGTATCACGTTTTCTGTTTTCTTAAATAGGCTAATTAGTTATGGATTAGTGATGCAATTAAAAGTTGAATAATTTGTTCTGAAATGTTGAGTGTGCCAACAATACGATTCCGCCTTAGTACGGTACAAGGAATTTATCAATTGCTAGTTAACCAACCAAGAAGGATTCCACTAAAACAGCCACCGATTGCTTGCCTTCATTTGAGTCATCCCAATACGGCTAAACTATTTGTGGATAAGGAGAACAAACATGCACACGATGTGTTGGAGCACTCACTGAAACCGTATAAAATTTTCCGTCTGGATGTAAGCACACAAACTAAAAATTTTTCCGAGCACCCGCAGCTTCCATCATTGGCTTTAACCCCTAAAAATACTGATTCTACAATTGAAGAACTCTTCAGTGCTTTTACCGCTTTGACACAATATTGCATACACACGAATACCTGCATCTCAGATCAGCGTTTCACGCAATTTTGTCTACGATTCTGCGAGCAGACTCACCACCTAAATGACGAGGAGTTATTGACAACACTTCGGCAACTAGCCCAGCTACCACTGGAGGATTCAGTGCGTGAACATAATTATGTGGAATTGTGGAACAATTTAGATGTTGAGTGTTGTCGTCGCATTGATCGTTGGTCAAGTGATGAACTGTTGCTCGCATGCGATGCCTGGTATACGCTGAACTTGGCACGTGTTTCAGAGTTTGTGTGGGAAGCGTTGCGTAAGCTTGGGCGGAAGGTACGACGCATGCAGCCCGAGCATTTAGTACAAGCCATGTTCTACTGTAATGTTTTACGACGGCCTGTATTTGAAATGTTTGACTTCGAAGTGAATCTAGCGCGATGTGTCGATAGTATGTCGTTGCAGGAGTTGGGTGTCATGTCGATGGGGTTCTTTAAGACACAAACACCTATACGAAATCCGGATCTATTAGATCATCTGTACAATAGATTGATAGCGGAAACAGAGACAGTGGACGATATAACACTGGTCGCCATCTTAAAAGTGCTGCGTTATAGCAGTAAATTACCGCAAGTGCCACAAATGATGCAACTAATGGAAGTTTTACAAGAGCAAGTGTCGCGCATTTCATTAATGAGCTGTTTGCACTTAGCGCTTTTCGGTGTCGAGTTGCAATGTTGTCATGATGGCGTTCTAGAGTTGGTGCTACAGCGCTTCAATAATGAAATCGCCAATGCGCGCCTCAAGGACATGGAGCGCATATGTTTGGCTATAAGCGTTTTCAATTATCGCAGTCCAACTGGTGTCGAGCAAGAGTTGTGTCGGAAAATTATCTCGCTGCTTCAAACAAAAGTTGATGAAGTCATGAAATATCCGCGTTGTTTTGCGGCGTGCCTGCATTATCTGACATTATGTGGATACCATAATGAAGAGATGCTAACTTCTGCGTTGGACAAGCGTTTCATAGATCACGCTTATGGCAAAAATGTGACACTTGGACGTGAGATCTTCAATTTAGATTCTTTTGTGAAAATAAATTTAAAGGACTCTGGTTATACGGGCAACCAATTATCGGAAAAAATGCGACGTTCTATGGGCAAAATGTTAACACAATACATACCTGAGAGAAATTCTAAATTCAGATTAAATAATACAGATCGTATATTGCTGGAAATCAAGGAAACTTTTGAACGAATATTGCGACCGAACACGTTCAAGCATATTTTGCCACATTTCGAGCGACCAGATTTGGTTATTTGCTATGACAATAAAAATCGAAAAGCAATACGGCTTGCTGCTGGCTGTCCGGAGGACTATAGTGGTATTCTAATGTAAACAATCTATGGAGTGGTCAGTTTTTTCAATTAACATTTTCTTTATTTCAGGTGATATTTTGACACGCCAGCTGCTGCTAGGTGATTCTGATAGACCGGAAGTGGACACCATTGCTATTGTGATAGCTGGCTGGAATAATGTTGTTAAAGATAAGCAAAGATTCACTGGCTTATTTGAGATGAAGCTTAACCAGTTACGCATGCTGGGACACAAGCCCATTGTGGTGAGTAGTTTGTTTTTTTAATTTAGTAGAAAGAGCTGATAAAAATATAAATGTTGCCATCAGCTCTTCAGAAAATTTCACATTTCAATCAATTTGATAATATATCCCATAATGCATATAATTTCAAGACAATTTTAATACAATTGAAGCCGTACATATTGCATTCTTGTAACTTTTGTGTTTTTAATGAGTTTATAAAATGTATATTGACCTTACAAATTCTTATCTTAAAATGAACATACATTCATCATGGACAACATTTTACATTTACATACATACATATTCATAGTTAAATTGTAAGCTTTTTAAAACCAAATTATGCTAAATTGAGTTGTACTTAAAATTAACTACGAATATTTACTATATCTACTACTTTATTATTGCAGATATATTGGCACGAATGGCGCGCACAAGAAACCCCATTGGATCGTCAGCAGTTCTTGAAACGAAAATTAGTGAACGCCATAAATTTTTAGCATAAATTTACAAATGAGTATGTATGTCAAAATCAATTAGCGAATTCTGTGCATACAGACATACATATGTAAGGAACACAATTTAAAAGTAATTATGACAAACTACTATTTCTTGTTTCCATCCTTCGGAACGTTCAGCGCATCTAAGTGCTGGTGAAGCGTCTTTTTCGTATATTCATAGACTACAAATAGTGTTGCGGTTGCCGGTATGGTGCGCAGCACTGAAGGCAACAGTCCATTGTAAAGCGCCCAAATGCCTTCTTTGCGTAAAATATCAAGACCCACAGACAACATGCCACGATTCAGATTCTGCACTTGTATGCGACTCTTGATAACATCAGCAGGGAAAATCGAAGTCCACAGCATAACGCCACCAACAGCGCCAGCAATCATTGTATTAAGTGGACCAATCTCGTCCTTTGATTGTCCGGGCCTGAAAGTGAAGTGTTAATATTGCCTTTAAAATTATACTAAATAAAATTACTCTGTAAGAAATTCGCGCGTTGCCTCATAGCTGCCAAAGAAGAAAAAGTAGCCGGGCATTTCACGCATAAAAGTTGACGTAAGACCGCGGAAAAAGCCGGGAATACCTAGTGTGGCGTAGTTAAGCAAAAAAAAAAATAAAATAAATAGTAATTTAAACATGAACTCCTTTGTACATATTAAATAATTAAACTTACCATCTGTTTTGTAAATAATTCTAGTTAGCTTCCATGGTGTGATATGTTCGTTAGCTGGTATGCCTGGACAACATTCCGCCGACTATAAGTGTTTAATAGTAAAACTAAATAGATTAGAATACAATGACAATGTTTAAATAGCTAAATGCACACTTTAAATAGCATACCTCGCGTATCGCCTGTAATTTACACTTAACCAACTCCGTTGGACAGAGCGCGAATGTCGAGAAAAATGCCGCAAAGAAGCCAGCAAAAGCATTTTCTGTTGTATTCAATTGATTAGTGTGTGTCTTTCCAACAAGATATGCTACAAATGATTGACAACCACCATAGGCAGCGAATAACACAGAGTTCTCAGCGACATTGGCGATTACTGCGGGAACACTACCCGCATACAGGCCATGGATGATGCCGTCCTTCTTGTAGGTACTAACGAAGCAATCAAACATATTCTTGTAGAGAAATGGAAATGTTTGTTGTTTAACCTTGACAGTGTCCAACGGCTGGGAGACATACACCTGCGCTGCGCCACCTGGAAGAAAATAACAAAATAGAAATCAAAAATTGAATTTAATGGGAATCGGATCATGGGTTGTTAGCCTCAAAACGAAAGAACGTCTGAACTCAGTATCCTATCAACTAATTGCCTTCCCAACAAAAAAATGATATAAGCAGTTTTAAGAAATAAGAAACGAAAATTTTGCGACAGTACAGTCTAGTACAATTTTCTGTATCCGGAAACGAGTAGAAAACGTTTGAAAAAAAAGATGATGTTATTTGAAAGCAATAATTGTATTTTATTTGTTCAAGCTAAATATTTGAAAGAATGCATTCGTAGTCGGCAGCGGCTGAGCGTATTTGTACCGTACCGTTATTTGTTAGCTTCCAGAGGGTGTCGGGTTCGAATTCTTTCAGGAGCTTCCTCATTTTATTATATTTTTTTTTTGAACCATGAAAAAGTATCTGCGAAGTGGAGAAGGAAAGCGTATTGAACGAAAAATTCAATCAAACAAATTTCAAAAAAAACAGCCGAAAAAGTATCCGTTTCACAAACAATTTTCGGTAGTTGTCTGTACATACGTTTCTGCAGCAGACTTTAGTGGGAAAATAGATCGTTAAAGTATCCAAAAATGGAATCAGTAAACGGGCAAAAATCCGCAGTTCATCTACTTTCTCCGAAAAAGGAAAAAAGTGGATAAAGTGCGGATTTTGGTCCGTTCCGAGCACAAAGTACAAAGTTATGGAAAAATATTCTACAAATGTGTGATGCTACAAATGAATATTTATGTGTTGCTTTCACAAAAGATGGAAAAATATATGCAAAATGAAGGTACTGTTTCAGGGTTAATAAATCTAGCATCATTGAAAATGGCTTTAAGATCCTCCAGATTTTGTGCAAAAAACTGCCAAAATAATTTTTTGCCCCTTATTTGGCTGCCATAAATATGGTCACTGTGGCTAATAAGGGGTTGTTTGGTATGAGGAATCCATTTTTGAACTTATTTTTTTCCTAAAACTTTCGCCAGAGGCTGCAACATTGAAAATTTTCACATCTTATTCGAAGCCTATTTTCGCAACTCCAAATTGATTTTAGAGCCATAGTTTCTTTGGAAAATTTGGTTAGAATTACACGTAGAATCCTATGCTATACGCGCATAGTAAAAAAAAAAACAAATGACCCGCCCTAACGCACATATGTACGGGTATGTATGTATGTATACATGTACTGATATGCGCATAAATAAATTGAGAGGCAACCCACGTGCCTTTGTTGAGCACACTATTGTATACACACGCTTAGTAGCACTTATTCGATAGTCTATTATTCCATATGAGTTTCTCACTTACCCAATGACCCCGCCACAAACTCAATGAATCGACTACGCAAAACACTAGGTGGCGGTGGTGGCTCCGGTTCTTTTTTCTCCCAAAACATTTTCCACTAACTTTACTTAAAATATGTGTTTAAAGATAAATCAATAGTTTCGCCGCTCAACAGCTTTCGACTAGCAGCGGCGTCTACAATTTTCCACACTTCAAAAGCTTATCTTCCAAGCCTATGTATGTATGTGACCACTTTAATCGTGAAATGAAACTTTCGAGATTTGACAGCGTACACGTTGTCGTGGCTGGATGATGAAATATCTGAATGATCAGCTGAGTGCGACCGCTACTTGATGACTGCTCTGGAATACTGCGCCAAGCGACTCCAATCGTATGTATGTGTATTGCTCGCGCTTTATTTTGCCGACAACGTCCGCTTCTTATCAGCGAGAGCGTGAAGTGTTTTTCTGCTGGCGCTCTGGCTATCTGCTCTTACAACTAAATGTGGCTATGTTGTTGTTCTTCCCCAGCAAAAATGTGTTATTATCAATACTATTAATTCGCTGTTGAAATTATGTTGTTAATGCGATTTTTAATTTTTGCTTCTAGGATTAGTAGCTATTTTAAATTTGTCTAATCTTCCAATTGATAAATGCGAGGAAGTAAAATTCTTGGTGCTGATAACCGCATGCCATTAGTTTGTTTATTTTCAATCTAAAACAATTCACTTTTTACTACACATTTTATCTTTAATATGTAGAATAGTTTGATTTCTTTTTTTTGCTACTGACTTTGCTGAAGTCAAATAAACAAAAACTAAAAAAAAAATCAGTAGAAGAAAAAAGAAAAAAAATAAATAAAACAGAGTTGCTCCCAATTTTTAAACGAAAAACTTAAGCTCTGATCCAATACTCCATGAACTTACAGGACTTTACACGAACTTACAGGAAGTTGCAGGAAAAATAGCTCTGATCCAGTACTCCATGAACTTACAGGATTTTACACGAACTTGCAGGAAGTTGCAGGAATAACGTTCCCGTACTCCAAAATCCTGTAAATGAGAGCGACTTTTGGAGAGTTGTGTAGAGAATGAAGTTGCAAGATTTTACCCGAACTTTTTCTTCTGGTAAAATCATGAAACGTGTCAAGCAATCTCTGGTTGAAGTTTTTACAGGAAAAATAGTTTTTTGTTCCCGTACTTTTTGTTGCTACTCACTTTTTACTCTCACTTCGGAGAGTAATTTTGCTGTTTGACAGTTTTACAGGGTTTTTCACGAAAAGTATTGGATCAGAGCTTTAATGTAGGTACAGTGTGCCACAATTTCATACGAACGGGCGTGATCAAAATGTATTCAACAAAGTGTGATTGAATTTGACACTGCTCTCATTAGAACCATCCTATAATGGGAAATACAAAAAAATGTATGAATTTTGAAACGTTTTAATTTTTTATTTTTTGACACTACAAGAGTTATGGCGCTGACAATTTTTAGTGGTGGCCACATTCGATTTTAAAAGTCGCTAAAAATGGGTTGTAGGCAGGGCCGTATAGAGGAATTTCGGGCCCGGGGGGAATATCGAATTTCTTCTATTGAAAAATTTCAACAAATTTTTTCGTGATTGGAATAAAGAAATTTATTTGGATATTCACACAATTGGGATTCGATTTGTACCAAATTTCGGCAAAAATAAACCCAATCGTGTGGCACTGCTTTGAACTTGTATTTATACGGATGTTGTTAAAGAATGAAGTATAAAAAACTGACCAAAATTAAATAACAACAGAAATAACATTTTAAAACTTATCAAAATTTGGTGCGGCTAAAACTGTTTCGACTACTGTTCATAAGTTGACTATGATTACTTGGCTATCATAGTAGCACAATGCCACTAATATTTGACTTACCAACAAAATACGGGCAGCAATTTAAAAATTTCAGCCCTGTTTGTGCCAAAAATTTTATTTTTAATCAAATTACATATGTAGCACATGATAAAAAAAAAAATAGGAAGGTAGAACCGTTGAGGGGTATTTTTCAAATTATTGACGTTTGCAAGCAATTTAATTTTAATATTTTACATACAAACTCACACACACATTCTCATTTTCAATCTCAAACAACAATAACTTTGAACAATTCCTTTTTTTTACTCTCAATTTTATATGATTTTAAAATGTTGGCAAACTTCAAAAAAAAAAATCGTGACCGACGAATTGAGAGAACGGTTCTACCTTACTATGTTTTTATCATGATGTAGCATGCTATGTAGTATGTTGAAATAAAAGTGCAAATAAATAAATATTTTTTTTTTGTCAGAACCCCCCGACTATGACGAGGTACGAATAGCCATTATGCGGCTACTGTTAAAAGTTATAATTACGACAGAGTAGAGATTTTCGTTTACTAGGGAACCGGCATTAGCATTGAAATCCAAAGCAGAATCATCCATGCCAAAAAGTGCTACTTGGACTGAGTAAGCAATTGAGAATTGCAGTCCTCTCCCGACGTACGAAAGCGCTTTTGGTGTATGGCGCAGAGCATAAACATATTGCAACGGTTTAAAATACAGCGGCTGCGCTGACTTGGACATGTCGTACGAAATAACATAAACGCTCCAGGAATGAACATATTCAAGTCGCAACCCGCCGGTAGTGGAAGAGGGAGGCCTCCTCTACGTTGGTTAGACCAGGTGGGGGACTTGGGTTCAATTGGCATTTTCAATCGGCGTCAGTTGTCGCAGAAGAGAAACGACTGCCGTGCTTTGTTGAACTCGTGTAAAATCGCTTAGGTGGTTACAGCGCCAAACAAGAAGAAGGAGATGGGACGTTGGATGGTCGATATTGTAATTCCCTCGTAGCTCCTGTTTCAGGAACAAAAATATAAGGAGGAGTCCATCCTAGAACCTGGAGACTATAGAGCCACAGCTGATCATGTTCCTACCTATTGTTTCGTTAGGAACGTTAAGCAATCCCGAATCGTCTTCTGTCTAATTCAGTGTGGTCAATTTGGTTTTTATATATCGTCACCTGAAATACAAAAAGACGTAACCACATCGTAAATGATTTATATGATGGATTTCATCGAATTACAACTCCCCACATCATTTTTCATTGGTGTCTGGTACTACATACTTGCTAGCATGTTCCGTGCCGCGACGAAGTTGACCTGAACATCTTCGTTATCGTATAATTTGTATATTTTCTTCTGCCTCTTGAACCAAATATGCTTTATTTGCACATCCTAGTGTTGATTGGGTGATGTTGTTTTAAACTTTGTTTTGATGCGGTTTGAAATAATTCGTCCACCGTTAAGGATGAACCCTTCGACTAGCTTCCGCCCAACCAAGTCAAATTTGTAGCGTAACTCATTGCTTCTGTAACAGATGGCGCGTGCTGCAAATATCTTGCAGCCATGTCCCGCTCAACGCATCTCCTGAATCGCGGTTTTGGTAGCCTTTTATTATTTCTTGTAATACATATACATATTCAGTAGTTGAAAAGAAGCTTATGTTCTACAGAGCATACGAATATTCCAGGTGCATGTCGATCAAATGTAGCCCTTTTCCCGATCGCAACCCGACAACCCCGTCAACGTGTGGCGAGGTCAGTGTTTTTGCCTTTTCCTCTTTTAACGTTTCGGGCCCAAGCCTATCGCACAACCGATTACTCGGCTAGTTTCTTAAAAGAAAAAGAATCGACAAAAAATTTCAACCAATTTGTAATTTAGGTTCATTTTTTATTTATTTATTTATGCGCTTTTTATTGTTTGTGGTATATAATGTATTAAATGTAATATTTTCATTATGTTTATGTATGTATATATGTATAGTCATATAAGTATATATATTGTTTTTATTTTGTTTTATTCTTTTGCAATTTGATAAGTAATTTACACGAAATGCTAACCATAAGATAAACTGTAAATTCTTATATGTAGTTTCTAAGTACGATATTACTAAACTTTACTATATGTAGTTTATGTGTATGCGTGAATGTATATTACGAAGGATGGGAGACCTTAAATGACAAGTAAACACATTTACATACAAAATCAGCGGTACAT